GACTTCACTGGATGTGAAATGTGCGGTACATCCTCCGAAGCCGCCAATCTTGAAAGTGGTATTTTGCAGCACTGGTAAGCCAAGAGCTTGGGTCTTCTTTCTACTGATGAAGCTCTTTTGTGCACCTCCATCAAAGAAAACAGTCACGGCCTTATAGCTGGTCGATGTGTAGTCGTATGCGAGTGCAGTCGCCGTCATCAGTACGTGCTGCATTCCTCTTTCTCGCTTCGTGCTCTTGTTGTGGAGGATTTCAGAATTTTGCGCAAATTCAGGGTTTCTCGGGAGGTCTTGATCGCGAGCAGATCGTTGCTGCGATCGCCTGGTTGGGGTGCCTCGAGATGCTGAATAGCTACCCATGCATACGGCAGTGTGGTGATTTTCGTGGCACTTGTAGCAGAACTGTGAGCTTGTGCAATCACTAATCCTGTGATCGGTTTGAAGACATCTGAAGCACAGCCTTTGTTTCCTGGCTTCATCACGTCGCTCTGCTGCTGTTTGGAATGTTGTGCATCTCGTTGCATCATGTTGGTAACTTTCGCAGATGCACTGAGCGCTCGAATCTCTCGAAGATGTATTTCCTTGACCGTTCGAATTGTATGCGATTGAATCTTCTTCATAGTTCAGCCTTTTATCAACTCCTTGATCGGAATCAGAGCGTGCCATAATAATGCAGTCCTCGAATGCTTGGAATGTGTCCATTGAAAGGGCGATTGTTTCCTTGAGAGCTACCGCACTTTCCAGGATCTCTAGTATCTCCTCGGTAGAAAACGGTTTGTCTTCGTTTTGCTCTTTGCTGAACACCTTTTCGCTCAGTGATGTTGGGAATTTTGAGAGTATCAATCGTCTCCACATTCGCCCGTTGTCCAAGGTGACTCCCGCACACTCAATGTGAGTGAGCTTCTCAGTCATATCGGTTAACATTTTTCGGCAGCTATTTGCGTCTTCCTTTGCTCGCGGAAGTTTTTCGAGCTCTGTGATGAGAAGATCAGCTATGCATCCGGACTTGTTGTATCTTTTGTTGAGAAGTTTTACAGCTTTGTCGTAATTTGTTCCTATTACTGGAATGTTGCCAAGCATGGAAGCAGCTGATCCTTTCAGTGCTTGCCTCAAAAATAGGAACTTATCCGTGTTGCTAAGCTGTGAGTTGCTATGAATAAGCGAGTCGAAAATCGTCCAAAACGTTGGATAGTCTTTGTAGTTTCCATGTTGGAACTTCAAGCATTGGTAATCGGACTTTGTTCTCAGCGTGTTGTCTTGTTGATAGATAACAATTTGTGTCCGTGTCCGGTACTGATGTTGGCGTCGAGGACGATGCTAATGCGCGGATCAGGCTTGACTGTTTTTCCAGTTCCCTCGTCCGATATTTCAACCTGTTGGTCCAGTTGATACCTTCAAGCTGTAGTCCGTTTGCTTCTGTGCTTAGGAAAGCAGCCAAATCGTTCATTAATCTATCTTTGTCTGACTGGTCCTTTTTTGCGCCAAGAAAATTCATGGCAGTTTGCACTTGCGCCTCCAGGTTTTCCAGTAAACCTGTTAGGGTAAATTGCAGTTCATCAATCTCTGCTATTTTGTCCGCTATAAAGGCGTTGCATTCGGTTGCGGTGTTGGGAAACTCAAAAGCTTTATCAATATTGCGGACCTTGTCCTCAAGACCTCTGATTGATGAGCAAGCCATAGAAATGCGAGCTTTATACAGAGTTAGCTCAGCCATCGTCTGCCTTGTGCGCATGGACTTATATCCTTTGCGCTCTCATCGTCTGCGTGCTTTGGCACTGCAGGTGTTTGTTTGTAGTAGAGTTCTGGCTGGGTACTTAGTACTCGCAGCTGTCGAGAACTGTGGAGGTTGGCTGGGCCTGGACCTCTGTGGGATTTTTCCTTGCTGGGTGCAAGAAAACTAGTCACTAGTGAGCTTAGCAGTGGATTGCGTAGCTTCTTCTAGTTACTTAGCAAGCGTGCTGTTGGCTTGAACGCTGTGCTGACTGGTAGGTTTGGACCTTGCCCAGTAAAGGATTGAGAAATCCTTGAAGTTCAACAGTTCTTGAATGAACTATGAAACTTCTGACCGCAAAACTGTTCCGCTCTCTGGTTCCTTACGAAAAGGACGCGCAAGAGAGTTTCACTAGAATTTGGGTGTTTTCACAAAAAAATTTCTTCCCACTTCCTGGTTCCTTACGAAAAGGACGCGCTAGGAAAGTTTTCAGAAAATTCTGTGGTCTACTGTTGATTGACGCCTTTACGGCCCTCTGGTCTCTTAAGAAAAGAGCGCGCAAAGAGGGTTTTCAATTTGTCAAGTAGCTAAAGTACCGACTGTTTTCTTTACTACCCACTGGTCTCTTATGAAAAGAGCGCGCAAGTGGGGTTCAATATACAGTGGTTAATACCGGCTGTTTTCTTTACTACCCACTGGTCTCTTACGAAAAGAGCGCGCAAAGTGGGGTTCAATATTCAGTGGTAAATGATCACCAACTAACGTCTGTACCAGCCTCTGGTCTCTGACGAACAGAGCACGCAAGAGGTTTTCGATTAATTGGTGGTATATGATCCTGCCACGCGGGACTTTATCAGCTTCCTGGGTAGCAAACGCCAGAAAGTGATACGTAGGCCGAATGCACCAATATGGTATACACCAAGTTGGTACCACTACGTTGTAAACTGTTTATTAGATAGTAGCGGAGCAGCCGCTGACTATCAACAGTGAATAATGCGGAACAGCCGCTGACGATAGTGGTACTATATCGAACCAACACCAGAACTGAGTATTCAGGCCCTTTTATGCTACTATTTTGGGCATGGATAACCTGAATGCTCACTTGTGGTAAACAATAGTATCATACAGCATGAAGGATTGCCTACATGAAAGTAGGCGCCGCCAAGTAGATTATCAAGCACAGCGGAGGGGTAACCCGGCTTAAGTGGTCAGTGAACAATAAGGTTTGTCAACGACAAGCTAACAGATATGCTAAATATAACATACACGGTAGATCTACAATGCTAAAGTTTGTATAATAGATTATTTGGATCATCTACGACAGTGGGGCGCGCGACGGAACGCGCGTAAGCAAGAAAATATAAATCACAAAAGTTACACGTAGGTTACAAAAGTTCATCACAACATTAGCTAAGTCACGTATATCACATGATTTCTGTAACGGGTTCGTTGTCTTCGTCTGGGATTCGTAAGGTGGTCGGCCATCATGTCGTGGTCGGCGTTTTGGTGTTAACCAATATTGGATGCCACTACGTTGAAGGAATTGTTTATTCGGGAAACAATTCCAGTGGAATATAGATTTGGCGAGACGAGTCCAGAAGTGAGCATCCAGGTCTATTTATGCCACTATTTTGGGCGTGGCAACCTAGATGCTTCCTTCTGGCAAACAATAGTATCGTACAGGTATCACTCGAAAATTATTGGTGCTTACATGAAAGTAATAGCCGCCAAGTGTGCTATCAAGCAGCAATGGGGGGTGACCTTGGCGGCTTAAGTGTTCCACGCTAGGATGGTTTGTCAACGACAAGAATAATATACAATATAAATTAATGGTGGATAATTATTCTATTATTATCGACACATGGTGAGCAACATTACAAACTCATTCATTTTTGTAAGTCAAACAGTACAAGAGAAAAGAAATTCTTTATGTTATCCAAAATGTTTGGATCACATAAAGAATCTCTAAACTACGCTAGGCCTTCAAAGACGAATAATTCACTCGCACTCTAATTTTGAGCTTAGAGCTACAAATACCCATGCAACTTAGTAATGGGTGGATGAGTCCGCAGGCTCCACTAACCCATCACCATTAAAAATAAAAACGGTTTACCAAAAATGACAAACCAAAGAATCTTATTTAATTTAATATATAAAGAATCGTAAGCGCAGTTCAAAAATGTGCTAGCGGGAACCGCGGTGCGGTCCCAAAGCGAACGCTCTTGCAAATAGCACCTTTAGATTACTGGTTTACTAGTTAAAACAAAAAAAGCAAGTAAGAACAATTACAAGAGAAACGAAGGACTAAAAGGAATGTGCAAACAACAATCAGATCGCAATCGAACAACTCAACAAGCTGAGGCCGGCAACCTGAGATATCGTGCAATGTATGCCTCGCGACTACTCTCTATGGTCTTATCATTCGAGAAAGAAATTGGACTGCTACAAAAACCTGAAGTGTGTTACTAATCTAATCCAACCTAGACCTAACAAGTGAACCATGCCTAGCATTAGCCATAACTTCCTCGGTGCCCCTCAACAGTAGTTCCCAAGGAAGTGTCAGGGAAAGGTTGAAGAGAATGAGAAATAACTGAGTTAAGTTCTAGATGAAGATGTTTTGATGAAGATGTTTGGTCCAAAGACCATGGTATCTACCACTTCGGCAAGCAATGCACACTCCCTATAAGTCATGCATGCAGCATCGCCTTTTGGAAACTTCATACGCAAGTACATTTTGTGCTTTATCAGGGTCAGGGAGTAAAATGTTTTAGAGAAGTAAGAAAAACGACTGCAAAATTCCTGGGGTGTTCCATCAGGTAGTATATTAATGATCGAAAATAAGAAGTAGGTAGTTGTATGGATGGCTGGTTCCTATAAACTTTGTTGAGAGCACACCTCAACGTAAGAGACATCAGCATCACTATCGATTAGAGTTGTCGATGCTGTCAAAAGAGTACAATTAGTGCCTTCTTTGCTTTCCATCGGTTTCTTGCTTGTATGAAATCTTAGTTTTTTATTTCATGTAAGAAGAAACCAGACATATTAAAACTCAGTAGAACTTTTCCAACTTCCGTTGACGCTCACTTTTTTTGCAGCTTGGAACTTGAAAAGTCTGGAAAATTCTACCGCATGCTATGACGATTCCTTCAGTAATGAGCTGGTTTGTGTAGATTTCTGCAGGATACAAGGATTGATTTTGAAATAGAATATTTCGTGCTTCTTCGTTGCCCCTTAATCCAGGTCAAAGCTTTGACATTATTATCGTATTGTTCCCTCTTAGGTTTTCGCAGTCATGTTGTTCCTGTTGGTCTTATCGGCTGCGTTCGCCAATGTCTATGGATACAAGATCCTTATCGTAGTCCCGAAAGCAGCCTACAGCCATATGAACTTTATGGGAAAAGTTGCCGATACCCTTGTGGATGCTGGACATGATGTGGTACATTTTGCATGTGTCATTAACAATAAGTTGTTCCTGTAGTCCGAAAATTTATTTTCAAATGGACTTTCCCAAGTTCTTGTTAGCACAGGTTGCCCTTCAACCCCTGATTCAACCACTTGCTGGGAATGGTACTCGAAAATCACGCATAATTCAAATAGAAGTAGACAAAGAATTGACTGAGAGTTTGATGGACGCTAAACATCATCATGGACAAAGATGGACGGACAGCACAATGAATCCGCTGAGCATCTTGAAGGTCGATTTTATTAAAGTTCTGTAACATCATTAGCTTAACCAATGTGTAATATTTACAGAATATACAGTTTCTCCAAGTCATCACGTCTAAAACTGTGGCAAGTTGGCTCCACACGGCTGAGGCTGTTTTTGCAAATCTCATTCTCGATTTACAGAACTTCTTAGCGAAAAGGAGCTACTAGAAAGACTGAAATTAGAAAATTTTGACGTCGGCATCACCGAATTGTTTGATTTTTCTGGCATAGGTAGGTTAATTATGTGAAACCCCGCAAGGAGACGAAATAAAAATTTCTAGCCGTCTTCGAAGCCATTGGGCTCAAAAATGTCGTTGGAACTCATTCGTCATCTCTGCTGGAGGGAACGGCTTATTCTATTGGTGTACCCGTGATTCCGAGTTTTATGCCAGGTAAGCGTACTTAAGAATAACATTGGGCCATCATAGACTTTAGCAAATACTTCGAGAGGGATAAGGACCTATCTTCCTAGAATTTATCCTATATTTTAGCTTTGAAAGGTTTTTTGAGCCAGATCCATCATCGGGCTTCAAAACAAATCACTAGAAAAAGAATCTATAATTTTCTTATGGTCTTAGAATGCAACCAAAATTATTTTATAGTAGCTTTTGAAAAAAAATCTTGTTAAGAAAATTTAAGCAAAGCAAAGAATAGAAGTTCTGCTGCAGATTTATTCATTGCTTTAATTTATTTACCTTTAGTATCTATTGATCCATCCTCCAACTGGTTTTTCTGGCAAAAAAATGAAGATTTTTAGGTCTATAGTCTGCTCCCTTGATAACCTCTGCTCAAATTCTTTTAACTCATAATCTTAGCCTCGGCTGGAGTCACCGACGACTCCACATCTTTCTCGAATCGCTTGAGCAATGTCTTCTTCACATGGATTTCCTGCTACTTCCAAAGGAGTTTAGCAAACGCAGCCGAGACCGTGATGAAAGAGAAGCTTGGAGAAAATATTACCCCTATTTGGGTTAGTGAGGTGATGGTCCAGTTTATCTCTGTATAAATTTCTTTATAGGATATCGTATCTAACATGTCATGGATAATAACAAATACCGAGCCATTCCTGGATTTTGCCAAACCTACATTGCATAAAGTGGTCGATGTAGGTGGAATTGGTGTCCATAAACCAAAGTCGCTTGATAAAGTGAGCATTTTTAAAATTTAGCAGCTTGGACCAAGACAGATGTAATTTAGAAATGGAGTACGGTATTGAGTCGACGGCCACACAATGTGCTAATCTGCTTTGGAAGTCATATGCAGAGCACTCAAATGCCGGAGAAAGCCAAAGCCGCCCTTGTAAAAGTTTTTAAATCGTGAGTATATTAGTGAAAATTATTTTTAGGTCTACAGAGGATTAGAAAGGTTTAAAAAGCTTTTCCAGCTTTTCTCACATCACTTTTATCTGGAAATACGAAGACCCAAAAAATGCACAATTTGCCGGAGTTGAGAATCTGTACCTGTCAGAATGGCTCCCTCAAAATGACTTACTTGGTAATTTCAATGTCGTAGATTTTTTCTAGTACTCAATTTCTCAACTCAGCCGATGACCGTCTCACTTTGTTTATAACACATGGAGGAGCTGGAAGCTTGATGGAAAGCGCCACTTATGGCAAACCTCTCATACTCATCCCATTTTTCGGTGATCAAACCCGAAATGCCAAATTGGCCGCAAAGTTCGGAATTGGTGAGTTGTTGGACGATATCAGGACGACAGATTTTGACACTTGAGAGGAACATATAGTTAAATTTTGAACCCATATTTATCGATTGGTCGATAGAACTGTTTGAAGGCATTCACTTGAACAAGGCATCGTTGTTCGACAGCAACGCACTGCGACAAGCGATCGAAAGCATTCTAAAAGACGAAAGGTAATCCTACGTTTCTTCGCTAAGGAGTATGCTAGTTTTTTTTCTGAACATTTCGCATCCCAGCTCAACTCCTGAGTTTACTAGAGTACTTAAGCATGTAAAAAAAGCATATGAAGTCCCGAAACTTTTCTCGTCAGCCACCGTATGATGCGAATTTGAATGTCGTGGTTTTCTCTAAAGTTGAAGATTTCTTCCAAAAAGTCAGAAAGGCGTTTTCAGCTTCCTGCACGTTTAATCTTTAGGTACACCAAAGCAGCTCATCGTATGCGTGATCTACTAAGGAAACGACCCTTCACACCTGAGCAGAAGTTAGTGAAAACCATAGAACTGGCTGCAGAATTTGGGCAAATTCCAGAGCTACTCATTGCCGGTCGTAATCTCAATGTATTCGTATATTATAACATAGATATACTCATGATTGCTGTTATTTTGTGCTTATCCGTTGTTTTCTTGCTTTTACTTTGTTCGCGAAAGTTGGTGCGCAGATTAATCTCACTTTCAGCTAGCAAGATCAAGGTGCAATAGTATAGCACTGATAATTGCAAAATAAATATCAAATCCAATGTCTGAATGACAAATTCTCTACAGTTCAAGCTTCGGAAATCAAAATGTCATCGTACAAGGTTCACATGCTCATAATGAAAACTCAAATAAGACCGAATCCCTAAAGTTATTGCGAGTAGGCTTGACTTTCTTAGGGTATCACTATTTGATGGTAAAAGATGATAGACCGTGAATTAGGGTCAGATAAATACACTAAACTAGACGAAGTATATGCAGATGATTCGCCCGAATTTTTGGATTTTCAGACATAATGCAACAAAAAAAACGTAATGGTACTAGCTTGATCAAAAGCTTGGGAGTAAATTTTTTAACTTCATCTCACATAGAAATCTTTGACTGGAAGCAAGTAAGCGCCTACCGAATATCTAAAATTTATGAATTAATAATAGCTCGGCGATGATGAAGCTAGTAAAATTGGCAGAACATAGGAAATAAGCAGAAAGTTCATTCTATGTAATTTTCTTTTCTGGAACCAAAGGATGCTCCACATTTCAAATAAAAGGTAGTGAAGTAATTTGCTGGTAGGTTTGAGAATCATCAACCAATGTTAAGGATGAGTTCTCCGATAATTCAATTGTTCAAAATCAATCTCTGCGCTAAATCTTCGCACAAAAGATCAAAGAACAGAGCTATGGGCAATCATATTTTCCCACGAAACTTTGCTGAAAGTGACACCCACAGAGACAACTACGAGAACAGACTGAGTGCGTAAACAAATCCTAAATCATCGAATACCGGTTATTGCTCTCTCTCAAATCGATGGCGACGCAAACATTTTAGATGTTTGGGTGGCAGTCAGCGATGAGGAGAGCACATACGATGATGGCGACTGTTTTGCGAACAGCTGTTTGCTTTAGACGTCATTCTTTGAATTTGGGCAAGCTTCATTGAGCTCAATGAAAAAGCAAGTCTAATTGTTTCCACCTGTTTTCATGCCAGTAGATTATTTTTCGAGTCATTTTTCGAGTCATCTCATGTTAATTTTGTTCAATCTGAGTACGAAACTTTTCTTGAGAAAATGCATTGTTTCCGCCATTCCGTGTTATGAGTATTTCAAAATAAAACATATGTAACATTTATGGAATCTAGATCTTCATCGAGGTTTCTCAATTTCTTGAATCCGAGGATTTTATGTTTGAGAAATTCTCCACGAATGTTTTTGCCTCATTACGAGGATTGTCCACATGTGAGAGGACCCTGCATCCCGGGAAGGGCAGGTCACACGCGGGTAAACAAATCATGCATCTCTACACATTAGCGCCTCCTACCAGCTGTCCGCCCGGCTGGTCCCTTTCGCCAACATATTGTCCTTTACCCATGTCCACATTAGAGCTGTAAACAAGAGTGTGCAGAAAATGGTCGTCCCAAGCATCGATCAGGGAGGGATTCTTTTATCAATTCCACCGAGATTTATTGCATTCTGTCCATTGATTGATGGTTTCGTTCCTTCATCGACTGGGATATTTAAGAGGGGCTACTACACTGAGAGACTGCCGAGAGATAGTTTCAGGCCCGAGTGTGTGGTCATTTGTGCGGTTCACGCTACTTGTAATAACTCTGAGTCGCGAAAAAAGTCTACGGGCTCATCAGCACATGTAAAGTCCTTCAACTATCTCGTAGTATTGATGTGTAATAAATTTACTGCACGTTTTTGTTAACTCTTCTTTCAAGCGCTGATTTTCGAACTAAAAGCATTTTTCTTGGAAATTTTTGATGTGATCTGAAAGAGCGTTCCCTCCAGTTATTTGGCTAAGCTTGGGTTCTCACAGATTTTTTTACCAGTGCTCCATCTCATAAGGGATGAAACCAGCAATTCTTCCATGTTCGCCCTGAATAAGTGAAAAAAAGTCGATTTATTTTTTGGGACGTAAGAATTGCGAACTAAAGCTACAGAGCAGTATGAGCAGAGAGATCTTTTATAAGCTTCTTCAGTCGCTGTGGTTGGAAAAAGCTATAGCAGAACTTTTGCACGAGACAGCATAGGTTGATCAGTACACTTATTAGGAAAACAGTAAGGTTTCCTTACTTTTCAGGATATAAATTTGCGCTAGCTTGCTACATTTAGGAGTAAATTATGCTCTCAAATTAGAGGTTTCTAAATTTCTTGGCAAACATTTAGAAAATTTGTCTTGTTGTGATCAAAATCATACGAAAGCATTTATGCGTAGCATAACGTTTACTGTTTGTAACGGTTTTTATTCGAGAGACGCTATCGAAGGTTAATTCGATAAGAACAGAAACTAAACTTTGCCAAAAGGCCGAGAAGCGAATGTCGTGTCTGTATTGTAGTCAAAAAGACGGTTTCGGTAAAGATTTGTAAATTTGAATTTTGAAAACTTGCATCAAAGTTAACCTACTATCATCTAGCGCAGCGCCTCGGCAAGAGATGGCTTTATGCAAAAATCAAAGTCCCCTCTGACTTTCACAAAATTTTACGGTCTCCTTTGACCCAAAATCGGAAATGTCGACTAGAAAAACCTAACCTAAATTGCGTTTTTTTCGGGCTGCAAAAACGATATCCTTTGGTTTTTGCCCCAAAAACGATATCCAGCTTGCTTAAAAGCCACCTGTGCCAAGCCCTGTCTGTTGCAGAGAAAAATAAGATAGCTCTAGTGCAATAAATGGTATGAACGGTACACGAATACAGCGTTTTAAACATATGCATGGATTGTTGAAAAACGTGCTTTTTGAGTTTATAATGTTGTGCTAGTACCCTACAGCAAATTATTGGATATTCTCATTCTACTCTGTTCGCCGTTGCTTGTAAATGATCTCTGTTCCTCGGTAACGCCTGTTCCCTTGCATTTTGACGTATGTTCCGTCTTAAAGCCGAAAAAAATGTGGTAAAAACACATGATTGTAACCTGCACTGTAGTTTGCACTCTTACAATAACTGATGACGGGCACAAAGTTACGTTGAGGACATGATCATCGTCCGCACTGCCGTTCATATGTGCATTGCACGTTGTTTTTCATAAACAATTGAATCCCGTACAACAGCTGCTAAAGCATTTGTTGTGAGTGGTCAGTGCAGCTAGCGGCTCGAAATTTACGAGTTTACTCAAATTCGATCAATTTATTTTGGGAAGTTGCATCGAAATTTTTGTATTTCCAGAATGTTGTCGCTGTTTCTGCTTTTACTAGCTGTCTGCGACGGCGGTACCCATAATATTCTAGTAGTTATTCCTAAAATGGGCTATAGCCATATGAATTTCTTAGGATGTATAGCGGATACTCTGGTGGATGCCGGACATAATGTGGTGGGTTTTTTCATATTTCTTCAATTTTTATGAGCACCTTTGCATCAGAGTTTTGACAAAGAGCTGCAAACTTTCATTACATCCGCAAAAAACCTCCAAAGAAATTTTTTTCTTTTTGTTTCTTTCGCAGAAATGTGGATGATTAATGTTGGCATCATTACCAGTTTTTATTGTATTAGGTTGTCTGCTCCAAAAACTTCGAAGTCGTTTTATCCAAAGAAGTTCAAAGAAAACATGTCGTGCTTTTCAATTTGTAACTGAGGAAAAAACACACTTGAATCGCACGTTTTTCAAATTTGCCCAAAAAATGTTAGGAGGTCCAATAATCTGTTCTTCAACGTTTGATTATGCTCTTCGACTTACTCTTTGCGAATCAAATTCGCGCTGTTCTTCATAACATGGTTTTCGAATTTTTTCACCCGTGTTTTTCTAGGATGCACAATGAAATAAAACACTTGTTGAATATTGCAAAAATACGTAATCCAAATTAAAACGCATTTTTAGACACTTTTCAGAAATTTTTTCGCATTTTTAGTGCAAGAATTATGTGCAACCTAATAGCTTGTGTTACGAGCATGCATACAAACTCCAAATTATTATTCCCAATCTTTACTGTCCACAATTGTTTTCACTTTTTTTCTGCTGATAAGATGACTTGGGGGTAAAGGGCTTTTCAACAAACTAGAATTCGATCTAAAAAACATGAATTTTCAGGTCTCTTTACAACCGCTTATTTTCCCCCATGATAGTAACGGGACGAAGAGGTCCCGTCTGATTCAAGTTGACGTTGATGCTACATTAGCTGAAGAATTGATCTCTACACAAAGTATGACGCAGGGGCTCATGTGGATGGCTAGCGCTGCAAATCCTTTAGGAATCCTTGGAGTGAGATTTGCTCGTTATTGCCAGCTGTTTTTTATCATATTAAATTTTTTCAGCCTCTGCCGTTCCTCAAAAGAATCGTGACGAAATCTGTAACAAGTGAGAACAGCCTGAAAAATTTTGAGCCCTGATATTCATATTTCTTGCAGAACTGTTGGAAAATGAGGAGTTATTGGAGATGTTGAGATCAGAAAAGTTCGATTTGGGCATTACCGAGTTATTTGATTTCACTGGCGTAGGTAAATCATATTTGCCGATTTTTTACATGAATTTCTAGAACATTCTCTTATTCAGCTGTTTTTGAGGCGATTGGACTCAAAAACATGATTGGAGTCCATACACAGTCATCAATAATGGAGGGAACTGCTTACGCTATTGGAATTCCTGTGATACCTAGTTTTATGCCAGGTAATTTTCTTTATGCCTCATACGCTTTTACAAAATATCGTAAGTCCTCGATTATAGCTTCACAAGCTGTCACGGACGACTCGACTTCCTTCACGACTCGCGTCATAAACATTGTGTTTACATATCTTTCCTATTTCTTTCAAACAAGTGTCGCCAACAGTGCCGAAAAAGCGATGAGGGCAAAGTTGGGCAGCTCTGCGACACCCATCTGGGTAATTTTCCACTACAGTTCCGCCCGTTCTGCTTAGAAATCTTTTTGTGCTATTTAGGATACGGTAGCAAACATGTCATGGATTCTAAGCAATTCTGAACCACTGTTAGAATATGGCAAGCCAACTCTTCATAAGGTTGTTGATCTTGGAGGCATCGGTGTACACAAACCGAAGCCGCTAGAAGAGTTGAGGGTTTTCTATTTCATATTCATATCTCCCACAAGCATTTTGGCGTTTTACAGAAATGGCACAAAATTCTGAATCTCCGCAAGCACACTGTGTTGATCTCATTTGGAAGCGTTGCACCCAGCATCTTCATGCCACTTGCAATCAAGAGAGCTTTCATCGAAGTTATCAAATCGTGAGTTCCAAATACTTACTTTGACTCCACTCTTGACTTTAAACGACATGCGCAATAATACTACTCAGCTAAGAAAGTGCTTCATTCGCTTCCCCTACATTCATATCGTAATTTCCACACCTCGAAAAGTCTTTCTTTGGGCCCAATGATTGAACATTAACTACTAAATCTTTACCTGAAAAATTGGTCATTAATTTACGTAAAACGTAGTATTGAGCCTTGGAAAAGTAGCGACCGTCTTGACTCTATGATCATGCGACAAAGTAAGTAGTATGGAATTCCACATGACCGATGCTGGTTACTACAGCCTATATTTTATTTTTTGCTGTGTTTGTGCATACAATACTTAGTGGCCAAGGTTATTTCTAATTGAAAACGCCAAAACGGAGGTGGATGGTCCCAATCGCGGAATCTCCCGAATCAAATGTGTTTTTGAAATCAAGATGACTTAAAGGTTGAACTCGAAAAAATGAGGCAATTTTACACCCAAAGGGAATGCACAAATACGGATGTAGAAGATGTAAACGAGTCAGCTGACCATAGATGTCTCACAAGCATTTCCCATTTAAAATATCCTCGGCCATGAAGTCTTGTCATGATAACGATATGACATAAACGAAAAAGGGATAACATGTAGCCCTGTGGCTATATTTCACGCGCGTGAGTTCGCTTAAATTGGCCATGGGCTAACTACAGGGTGCGTAGCAAGTGTTACCCAGACAGCCGCCTGGTGCCGCAGCCAGCCGCCAGAGCTGGCACCAACCCCACGGCTGAGCTACCGTGAGCGCGCTCTCGTCGTCCGCAACCTCTCGCCGAGAGATTTTCGCAGCAGCCTCGCACCTCTCGCGCTGATGTGCGCAAATTCCCTCAGAGGTCGCGCTACTGCCACATATTATATATCGATCAAAACAGCAGAAAATTTGTATTTTATTAGTAAGATACAATGAAAAGATATACAAAAACAAAAAAGTGTCAAAAATTAAAAACAACACAAAAAATCACAAATAAAAATCACGATCAAGTTTACGGTTTAGTTTTTACATTCGCGCTGCTATTAAATGGTTTTCTCTGTGACGACTTTAGACATTTTATAACAAAAAATTATTTATGGAAGCTGTAAGTATGTAGTTCCCGGACTCATATTCTTCTCTAAAGCTTCGCATGTCAATGATCTTATCCCGGTGCAATTGATCTTTCTTTCTCAATATTCAAAAACGTAGCAAAGGTAGGACCCTGGGACATCATACCCAATACAGGGTGATGAACCCTCTGTGTACTTATTTCGAGTTCTCCACGAATGTCACGAATTTCAGCAGCTGAAGAGTAGAGCTGGCTCGTAGCAGGTAGCGGATTCTGAGATTAAGAAATTCAAATCTTACTCCAAAAGTCTGGTAACAAGCAAAAATTCAAAAATTACATCCAAAAGCGTCGGATTTTCTACATACGTATTTTGAGCAAGATGCTCAGAGTGAAGACTGTATAGCTAGAGTATGACATTTGAAATCTTAGCTGCTCTACATTATTTCATCTTCTATGCCTCTATATGTGGCACATTTTTCTATTATGTGATCTACTTGGGTATTAGAAATCGTTCTGCCCCAAAGCTCACAACGAAATGTGCCATAAAAACTATTCAATGATCTGTTTTCTATTATTTATGAATTTATTCCATAACATTATGCTTTTGAGTTAATCTATAATCATTCCGTCAATTTATTTTTTCTAACTTTTTTGTTTTTGTATTGTCTCTGTATTGTATCTTACTAATAAAATACAAATTTTCTGCTGTTTTGATCGATATATAATATGTGGCAGTAGCGCGACCTCTGAGGGAATTTTCGCACCTCAGCGCGAGAGGTGCGAGGCTGCTGCGAAAATCTCTCGGCGAGAGGTTGCGGACGACGAGAGCGCGCTCACGGTAGCTCAGCCGTGGGGTTGGTGCCAGCTCTGACGGCTGGCTGCGGCACCAGGCGGCTGCCTGGGTAACACTTGCACGCCTCCCGCTAACTACACGGTAGAGGAGCACTAGTTACCAAAGATTCATTGAAGGGGAACCACAGCCTTAAAGCGATTACAAGAACTCTAGCTTACGAACAAAGAGAACAAAGAGAAGAGGCAACTACTAGGAAAAACAATTTTGTAGAGAAAATGAATTTCGAAGAACGAGTGTCGACCGACCATTCGTCCGTCCATTGCCCAAAATATTCGATAAAACTCAAAAACTGAGCTCCATTTCCCTCAAGCAAAGACCTAATGTCACAGCTACTATCAAGCTGTTACAATTAAGGTGAAACAGTAATGTAATGCAGGCATAATGACATATCGACCAACTTGCAAGGAGTACCTAGGGCTTTTGCAGAGCTATCATGCTCTTGCAAAGTTCGTCATCATCCAGCATCGTTATCTTTGCTGTCGCGCTGTTGACGTTATACAGATAGACTGTTGACGGTCAATATCGATATCCAGCGGTGGATTGATTCTTGCATGTTGCCATTTTGTTGACATTACAAAGATTTAGACAGGGAGACGGTGTTTGACCAGAGGATATGGCGATTAACATTTGGAAAGCAGGACCGCAGACTTTGGAATAGGCCATTTGTCCATCATTTCGAATTGAAGGAAGTGTGCAATTCCGAAATGTCCTTCTATGAGATTTCGGAACAGTACAGCTAAGACAGAAGCGTTAAAAGAGCCGCACGAAAGTATCAAATCGGGAACTGCACACCCTGCTTACTCGGAAATTAAGTACTCTTAATCTTACCATCTACTTGTGAGCTTGCATCAGTCCAAGTTTATTCTCTCATCAAGAAGCATGCGAGATTAAATGGAAATTGTATGAGATACTAAGAGAACGTGATATCGTGGAGATCACTGCCTTCTCCTTCGTTTCGTAGAGTAGTTGTAGAGAACAATTGTATCAAAAGAAATTGAACGAAAACGTTCTGCGGAAAAACTACGAGAGAGCGGTGAGAAGTTGTCAGGCTAACATCTGTAATGACTCGCTTTTTCTTTCTTGAACTTCTTAAACTTCTTGTTCTAGCTATCCGTATGTCACTTTCATATGGAAATACGAAGAGCCGGAAAATGCCCCATTTGCAGAAGGAGTCGAAAATCTTGTTCTATCGCGATGGACTCCTCAAATAGAACTAATAGGTAGTAAAGGCTGAAGCCGAAAATTTTCGAGATCACTTTGCTTTTCTGCAGCGGATGAGCGCCTCACCTTATTCGTTACTCACGGCGGATCAGGAAGCATGTTGGAAAGCGCAACTCATGGGAAACCACTGATTGTCGTTCCTCTTTTCGGTGACCAGACAAGAAATGCAAAGATTATCGCGCGGTTCGGTTTTGGTGAGTTACGTTTTCTTACTAAGAGCACTTGAGAGAAGCAATTCTCTACTCAGGAATTCATCTGCACAAGGCGTCTTTATACGATAGCAGTGTGCTGCGCGACGCAATAGGAACGATAATGAACGATACGAGGTAAGTAACTACTACGTGATATTATTGTCAAAAGATATGAGCTCTGCATAAATTCTTTTTCCCCTTACGCGAGCCATCCGTGCTCTTTTGAATTCGTTAATATTGCTTCTTTAGTTAAATACTGTCCTTCATTGCACCTAATTCTTACGTAGTATGCTCGAAATCCCAAAAAGAATCACGACTGTGGCAAGAAAATTATTTTCAGATACACGGAAGCAGCTCATCGAATTCGCGATATTTTGGCTGAGCGACCTTTTACTCCTGCTCAAAAACTTTTGAAAACAGTGGAACTAGCAGTCAAGTTCGGCCATATACCTGAACTACTAGTCTCAGGACGTCATCTTGGTTTTATCACTTACTATAATATAGATATACTCGTAGTCTTTCTTGCAATTTGTTCATCAATCACATTCGTACTAATATATGTCTTGCGAAGGTACATTAGGAATAGGAGGACATCTGCTAAGGCTAAAACACAATGATATTGGCATCTTATGATATTCTGTCAATTTTAGTTGCCCATAGAATTTTTTGTGTACTAGTCTTGTTTATCTTTGTTGTGTTCTGCATTGGTTGTATAAAGTCATTCAAAGACCTCCTGGAAGTGACACTGTTATAGATAGCAATAGGAAGAAGTCAATGCAAAAAGGTAGAGCATCTTTGAAAATTGATTTTTTGACTGTGTGATAATTTGTTTCTTAAAGACAACAGGTAGAGCAGGCAGCACGAGAATCAGGATTCCTTAGCTGCCCATGTGCCTTCCCAGTGCTGCAAAGCCTTCCATGTGTCCAATTTGTTCCGTACATTTCTCTTTTGCAAAGGAGAGTGTGCGTAAGCCTCTCTCAGGTTTTAATTTCTGTAGCTTGAAAGTGAAGAAGCTAGCATCAAATAGAATAATGGAATTTTGTTTGTGGCTTCCATGGCCAGTGCGGTAGTCTTTCTTATGACATGATCGAACTTTTCTAGGTGCAAAGTTCACCGGACGTAGGCAGCAAGTTCTGAGATTTTGGCTTAACATGTGTGCCGGCGCTAACCTACAAGGGAAATATGCGTTGCTGGTTTTCCTAACAATAAGAAGGCTCTTGATCAGAGAAGTCTATTATAGATTGACCCAACGTTAAATTGTTTGCATTTTCCTCACTACCTTCCAGAGCCCTTGCATCACGCTTATAAGCAGTTTAGCTGTAGACACGCTAGCATGACCTTGGAAAAAAGTTCCGATAAGGTATTAGGTTGTTTATACTACGCGGCAAAATGAACATTGAAGGCTAGTGTGGGACAGTGTGCAATAGTGCAAATTGAGCTTATTCGCATCAGCCATATTCTGCAGAACTTGAAGCTAAAAGTGAGAAAATCTGAGAACACCGGAACGGATCTCTCCGTCTGCTAAAAGCATTTTGTATGTACCATTTCGGCATAGCTATTGGTAATGCTCCTTGCTGCACTGAGCGACGCCTCTGCACTGACTATTCCGAAGAAAAAAAAAGCCCGAAGCCTTTTTAGGGCGGTTGAAAGCAGTCATGCACCGCCTGCACTCTGTATCCACCTCAAGAAATGACATATCAATGGATCGGGGACTCTGCTAACAGTAAGCAACCGCCAGTTCAAAGAATTCTGTTCAAAGCATAAGAGCTATTTAGTAAATGCTGTGCATCTGTATTTTGCCTTCATTTACGTGTATTAAAAAACTTCCGAGTGTTCGAATAACTTTCATGTTGGAAACTTTTGAGGTTACACCACATTGAAACTGATAGATTCAGAGGAGTTATCTGCTTGATAATCAAGTCGTTCCAGTATCTCAGTTATCACCTGGTGCACTATATTATTAGCAGATAAAAATGGAAGCTGAATTAGCACTCGAAAGCGTATCTGATTCACATAAAGTCCAATAACCACCATTGGTGTTCCGAGAAACTCTTTTGGGAGACGGGGGGAGGCGAGGGGGAGGGGGGGGGCTGGCAAACAAAAAGTTTTTTGAATGAAAGGGCTTGGGATAGTCACGTGGGCCGCTCTTCAGTTTTTGAGATAGAAATCTTTTCTGCTCATAACCCTAAAATTTGAAAATCTGGGTTTACAAGGCAAATTCAAATTTTAAGAATACTGAAAATTATCATTTACAACTAAAAACAATTCACTTGGGCAATCTTATGATGTTGTTGTATCTGGAAAATCAATATAATGAAACGGTGAGCATGTCTGGCAAGCACAAGAGTGTAAAGAATGCAAAGCTTGAAGTAACGGAAAGCAAAACAATAAAAAAAGCGGAGCATAAAACCAAAGCCGTAATGGTGCAAGTGACTGCCTAAAGGAGTTTCGCCATTATATACCATTTCATTATGGAACAAAACAATTTTCTGCTAATGTTGTGCGCTGATGTTCGAAGAAGTTATCGCTCCATATCTGTTAGGCGAAATTGTAAAAGCTATGATCTTCGGCCCAAATAGTTAACTTTTTGTGACATGCACTCGAAGCGATCATTGAAAAGCCCTTATTTGGGCTACTACTCTGAGCAGTGTCTTTTCTTTCTGCGCCGTGATAGTCATCTATGAATTGAGAGGTAGACTGGTATGAACATCATGAACTAAGATTCCAACGGAATCATATGCTAAAGCGCTTATAATTACTTCAGAGACTTGTACAGCAATTAAGGAAGCACCTTCTGGCTTGAGGGCTCATCTATTAGGAAATACCTCTTCAAATTGCCCACTGCAATATATAAATCAATCGTATATATATATAACTGAATGTCTGTTTGTTTGCATGTCTGTCTGTCTCTGTGCCTTTTTGTACTGTATGCTCCGAACAGAAATTTTTATTTCTAAAGCGGTTTGGACCAAACTTGGCACACTTACCCTTGGAGGCGAGATGGGTGCCGCAGGCTACTTTCGGCTATCTATCAATACGATTTTTTTTACAAAGTTTATGTTATGGAGCTGGGAGTTGACACGGGGGTAAGTGAGCATGCTGATAACGAATATATTTTCGACAGAGGCGGGCTGAGCCAGGTTTGCCAGCTGGTAGTAAATCAATTTTATCTCTCCTGAACGTTGAATCAATAGTATCGGTTGTTATAAGTTTTGTTACATCTTGACTTTTTTTAGCGTAATAAGTCATACATCCCCTATTTACAAATAGGTTTCAGCATACATTCACTGAAGCAAAGCAAGCTCTATAAAAAGGACTTTGAATATTTGTATCAACTTTGATCCACGCGTGTTCGTAGACAAAATGTAGAAAAATCAAATGCTAGAAAAGTCAGAAAAAATTGCGACTTTTTCCAGAAGAAAACCCTACGGCCCTCACTCGCTGCTGCATTTACAATCCATCAAAAAATAATATACACGATGCCGTATTCTTTCCGTGGCCGAGTGTCGATAACACGAAAACTCGCTTTGATATAGCAGACATGCAGATAAAAGCAGATATGCTTTTATCTGCATATCTGCCTTTATCTGCATTTGTATACCCATATGTTGCAAAATTAAAAAGTACAAGTATGGATGGAGCTTACCAGAGAATGGTCTGAAATCGTGGTCAATCCAAACAAGCTGCGAACCATTAAATGCAGCCTAAAACGCTGACTTCAAGTCTGTATTCCATATCTGCTTAGCTCCTCCGTTATTTGGGTAAGAAATCATGCATGAAAAGCGCAAAATTGGCATGCATAGCCACGTTTGATTTAATGCTGGTCCGAAACCTGCAGCTAGGTTGCTTTACATTCTTAAAGCCTAACAAGAAGCTCAAGTACAACAATGTGCTCAATTTCGTAATTTTTAGTAGGATTTCTTCGCAAGAAAACTGCTCATAACTTCGTCCACAAAGTCGCTAAGCAGATATAGATTACAGATTCGGAACTACCGTTGAACGCTGCATCGAATGGTTCAGCTCTTGGATTGATCACTTCGACTTTTGTCCATTTCCTTGTTAGCTTTCCTCACTAGTGTGTGTTTAATGAGATCATATCTCTCAGAAACTTCTGTGGAGAAGAAATTTACGGTTGCACTTCTTAAGATTGTAGTCTACAATCAGTTATGGGAAAGCCGCTCAACATCGCTTTAGCAAAAACATGACAACTTTCAATTTTTTATTCCCTAGCTGAGGAAAGACAACACCGTGCATGTGAATGTTTGATGCGGACTGTCTATAAATGACAGAGTGAGAGATCCGTAGGATCTTTTCAGAGAAATTTCCGAAATTCCTCGATTTTTCTGACATCTATCTTTCTATCTTTTTCAAACTCCGCATGTCAAAGCCACAAATGTTCAATCATCGTCTGTGCTTTTCTTTGAGTATGTTACTTTGAAACCTGTGGTAAACCAGAAAGCTTAACACTTATTGCGGTAAAAACATGAAATATTTTAGGATCGCTGGAAGTAGATGTTCTCAAAAACATATCCAACTACCAAAACATACCACCAAATCTATGAACCTCAAAGTTGCATCTTGTTTTCAATCGCGTCGACTCAAACAGCATTCGCATACAAACAAATCGTATATGCATTCGCAAATTGTGTGATCATCATTGTGGAAGTATAAAGTTGTCGATATATCAATACATTTTTAAAAGAAGATGACTTGATGAAAAAAGGTGGCAAGATCAACAAGGTTTGTCTCAGAAGCAAGAATTGCGCTAAATCGTTTATTCCATCTTCAGAATGAATCACGGTAAAGCGGAGTATATACAATGGTAAATATTGGATGGTAATGGGTAAAGGTAAAGCACAAAATAAAGTGTTGTTTATTCAGTATACAAACGCAATAACTACGTGATACCTATATGAGAAACTTGTTTATTAAAAATTCTTGGATTTAGAGAAGAAAACTCTATTCCGACAACTCGTTGAAACTTTTTTCGTACTGTTCTGAACGAGAATTTTTATGTCAAGTGAATTTTACGTTTTTTGCTACACATGGTTCTAAACTTACTTGTTCAATGTGATGAGTATGATTGGGTTTGCATACAAGAACATTATCCACGCACAATGTACAGCAAAGCAAATCAAACCAGTTTTATCGTACCATACTCCTTAAATGCATGCTTAGGGACAGTCCGCCATTTTGAACAGAATTCTACGAAATAGTCCAGTGACAAAATGACCTTTCTTTGTTTTCAGTCAATTGAAAACTTTTTCTCAAACTTAACACCTACCTGCAAAATGACGAGCAAGCACTAGACCACCCATGTATAAAGCCACAAACGTTGTTTGAATGAAAACCCTGATTTCAAAGCGTGATTTTGGAATTACATGGTCTTTATGCTGTAAGATTTTACACAGTACTCGATCTCTATTAGCAATGTACAGCAAAAGAGCTTTCGCAATTTCACAAGATTGATCTTTACCAAGGTTAGTTTGATGATGATGATAAGATACGAAATGTAGCTAAGTCCCAACGATATTAAGCACGTCAATAACTGTGCTGAGACCGAGATTGAAGTGCCGAATTTGCTATAATCATACGACCATGATATTATGTCCAGATA